ATTATATCTACTAATTTTCTACGGCGATTAAAAAATTAACATTTTTATTTAAAACTAAAAAATTACGAAATGTTTTTATATTTTATTAGACCGTAAAATAACATAATACATAATTTAAATAAATTCTTCTATTTAATATATCGGAAAATTCTTCATAGATTTTTAGATATTTGACGAAATATAAAATATCCCTAGATTCTGTTGATGTGTTTATGTGGCATCAAAAAGAACCTAACCTAACTTATTGTTTAGACTTTATTCATAAAGCCTAGTCAATTTAATAATTTCAATAGTTTTTGTCACATTGGCTACTTATACTGGGCAGTATTCATATTGCCCGGTCATTATGAAAAATGTCCATCACATATGTACAAATTTATAATGTGTTAGCCGTCAGGGAAAACAACACATCTGTCTTCTTTGTTTAGGGAGTAGTCTGTAGGTTCCCTTTAGGTATCACGACAGCGACGCGTTGGAGTGTCTTATAATTTTTGGGATCGCAAACTTGTTTATTCTAGTGCTATATGAAAATGCGTCAAGCCGGCAACATTATATAAGTTTCATGAAAATTCTCGAATATAAGGTGACACTCCAATTATATAAAAACGAAAGGCTCTTCAAATCTTGTTTTGTATGCATAGACTGTAATGCATAAGTATTGGTCTGTGTCAGATTAGCGTACGTACCACATAACAGAACAAATAACAATACAAATATAGAATACGGAAATTTAAATATTATTCGTTTCCTTTTATATTCATGAAAAATTATTCAACTTCATCGAAACAGCTACTACTAATTAAAGTTATATTCAATTAAATGTAATGGAAGTTGCTGTATTAGGCATAATTTCAATGGACATGAATGTGTTATGGCAAACACTGAACTCATTTGGGTTGAGCGCTGGCTTGATACAGGCATTAAGGTCTCTTTATAGGGACTCTAGTGCTTGTGTCAGGATCAACGGGGTCTACTCGGACTGGTTTGGCATTCATAAAGGTGTCAAACAGGGATGCGTGGCTTCCCCGTGGCTGTTTAACCTATTTATGGACAGTTGTTTGCAAACTTTGAAAGTTGAAGAATGTGGGTTGAGAATGGGTGAGTCAACCGTCAAATGCCTTTTGTACGCCGATGATCAAGTCATATTTGCATCGTCCGCGGCAGAGTTGCAAATGATGGTTACTTTAATGAATTGGTCATTGAGAGGACCCCTTTCTTTCAATGACCAATATACCAATAGACCAAATATGAAAGTGAACGCAAGTAAGACGAAAGTGATGGTTTTTGAAAGAGAAGAAAGTAAAACTTTATGTGAAATAAGAATAGAAGGGGAGTTGATTGAGCAAGTGGATGAGTTTGTATATTTGGGATGTTTATTTAGCAGGGATGGTAGATATGATAAGGATATAGAACGACGAGTGAACGCAGGAAATAGAGTGAATGGGGCTCTACACGCTATTATGAGGAGTCAGAATGTGTCAACTAAGGCACGTGTGGCAATTCATAATGCTGTGTACTACTACTTTAATGTATGGTAGTGAAAGTTGGGTCTGGCAGAAGAAGCATGAGAGTAGAATAAATGCTGTAGAAATGCGTTCCTTAAGGAGTATGCTAGGGCTGAATCTGAATGACAGGGTGAGAAATAGTGTGATAAGAGAAAAGTTTGGTTTGCAAGATGACGTTGTGACAAGGATTAAGAAAGGAATGCTTCGGTGGTTTGGTCATGTAGAAAGAATGAACGAGGAAAGAGTGACAAAGCAAATTTATGTTGCAGAAGTGAACGGCAGGGTCGGGAAGGGACGCCCTAGACGAAGGTTTATCGACCAAATCGGCGACACATTAAAAATGGGCCAGATTAGGAGTACCCTTAATCGACGAGCGTGTATGCGTAGATATATGGATGTAAAAGAGGCGAGAGAGGTGTGTCAGGATCGCGCCAAATGGAAGTCCGTAGTCTCTGCCTACCCCTCTGGGTGACAGGCGTGAGTGTTTATGTTTTTTTTTATGTTTTTCAATGATGTCCAAATTTCAATATAATACAAGTCTTTTGAGTTTCTAGGCCTGCGTTTGAGGTTTTGAAGTTCCCGTAGTTATACTCTACTGTTTTACAAAAATCCAATTTTCATAATCCTTCCTTATTTCTGCCTCCAAATAGTAATATATTATGCTTAACCTGCCCAAAATAAAAGTATATGAAAACTTTCAAAAAACATACATTCTGGGATATTCTTGAAGATTTTCTATCTATCTTAGAAAGAAGAAAGAAATGAACACTTTATTTTGGCACAAACCATTGAATTACAATAATATACAAAGGTATTACATAGATACGGAATTTTAATATATTTGGCTTTGTACGTCGTATTTTAGCTGAAGAAGAGCGATGTACATTTGAACGCCTCATAACGCGAGGGAGTGCTCTACTCTCGATATGTGGCCATATCTCAATTTCGCTGTATAAAATCGTTCTTATACTTTTAGCTAGATATCAAATCCATATTATTATTAACGTTACAATAAGTACAGACATTGGATTATAAGATTAGTTTATTTCTAATTGATTCACTTTACAAAAATGTAATTGAAAACTATTGGACTGCCGTCCGTTGGTCTGTGCGTCGGTGAGTCTTCTCGCTTAATAAAAACGTAAGCAATAGATTAAAATATATAGTATTAAATAAGATTCCATGCTTTCTAAGCAGGATCCCTATTGAGTTTTGTTATTGAACTCGTTTAAAAATTATTAATGAAAGTCAATGAGATTCTCTGTTTTTTTTTTCTTGTAAAAATTATCGTCACTTATTGTTTTCATGAAAAACTAGCTGACCCGGCGAACTTCGTACCGCCAACAGTCGATTCGTTAATTTTTTATTTTTGTTAATACTTATTCTGCTTAAGATAAGAAAAGAAAAAAACAATTACATTATGTCAAAAAATAAACATTATTAAAACACTATTGACAAATATTGACATTAATATTTACTTTTACGCCACTCAATTATTTTACCTTCCTGGAACCCCTCCACTGACACTTAAACTTTATGGTATGGTATTAAAGTTCAAATTGACTTTTAAGTATTATTACGAATCTTTTGTACGGGAATATAGAAAAGTGTTGTTTTTAGACTTTTTCAGGCAACTTTTTTAATTTTTCTCTCCGTATGAACCATCTTCGTACTTCAAGGAATATTATAAAAAAAGAATTAGCGAAATCAGTTCAGTTGCTCTCGAGATTTGCGCTTAGCAACACATTCAGCAATTCATTTTTATATATAAGACAATTCGTGTAATTTATAGGGAATCGGTGAAATAAACGTTTGTGTTGCTCTGAAAAAACAAAGTTTTATTAGTATAAATTATTTGTACATTTGTATTTTTCACTTAACTACACCTTACAATAATCACTAAACATACCTGAAAAAACAAAGAAACGACATTAAAAGTTATTACACTTGTCGATTCCCTTTATTAGTTATTTTATTATTATCCGATTGTTTACGTGTTTTACAATTTTAACATTTTACTGACGCCATCTTCGAAACCGTCTGCTTTATCTACAGTCCACTCAAATACTTTGACAGCGCCATCTATCAAGTAGCGAAGTAAATTGTTTCTGCTTTATCGACTAACCATAAAAGAATTTAATAAACAATAACAAAACTTAAAGAAATGTAATTTCTTTACAACTCCTCCCCCAGGGCAGAAAATTTCATCGAAATTTTCGGTAACAATACCTAAACTTACTTACAATTATTATAATAGTTATAACTAAATCACACTCGTTGTACATCATGTTCTTAACTCGGTTCTTTATTTAGGAACTGGAATGAGCTTTGTGACGTGAAAAAGGTTTGACTCGGATTTTCTGTGTCCTGTATCTATTCTATATATTGAAGATGATATTTTTTCTTCAATTTTAAAAGGTCCAATCCTTAACTCATCCAGTTTTTTCCTATTTAATTTATGTCCATTCTCAACATATACCAAATCACCCCTATTAAAACTATAGTCTTTTCTTTTTCTGTCAATCAACATTTTATTATAGTTATGAGATTTTATTGTATTTTGTAACGCTTTTTTCCTATCTTCAATCCATACCTCTATTCTTTTGCCTTGTTTTAATTCATTTGGCACAATTGTAACATCTGTCCCATCTAGTAAGTATCTCGGTGCGAAGCCGGTGACTGTATGCTCCGTGTCGTTGTATTTACTTACGCAATTATGAGCAATTGTTGTCCATGCTATGGTGTTAGGTTTTTCATTTATCTGGCATCTTATTTTGTTGACCAGCGTTTGATTTAATCGCTCATTTAAGCCATTTGAAAATGGTGAATTTACTGCGGTGAAAACTAGCGCAATTGATTTGTCATTCAAAAACGTCTTAAGCTCCTTTGAATTTATTCCAGGGTACTGGTCTGCGAGAATAATATCGATATCATTTAAGTTCGTTATATTACTAACCAGTTTTATGAAGTCCTTTGCATTCTGTGTCTTCGAGGTTAGTATATATGCGTAACGAGTGAAGTGATCCACTAGAAGATGTAGATATCTCTTCGTCGACCGCGAGCCTCCGAAGCCTCCAATTGTGTCTATGGAGATAATTTCAAATGGTTTTGTGGCGGGTCCTAAGTGTGACACTAGGCCATATTTAGCTTGTCCTCTTGTTTTATTCTTTATACATATATCGCAAGTTTTACAAATATTATTTATGATTGCTGTTAATTTTTTTGCTGTATATCTTGTACCACTTGCTTTTTGCATCTGTCTTACACCTATGTGACACATATTTTCATGAATATTTTTTATAAATTTTATACTGAAATCTTCCGACAGTATTATTTTTTCATGTTTTTTTACTTTTTTATAAAATATGTTGTTTTTGTATGTCAAATTATTCTTGTTATCATGTATATCTTTATTTTTCTCTTGATCTGTGTTGATATCTTCTAATTTTACCAAATTTACTATTTTTAATTGTTCATCAATATCTTCATTTTCATTCAGTACAGATTCTTTGAAATATTGCGGGAGAGGTTTTCAAGCCGAAGGGTAGACACGTCCATTGAAAGTGGCCTTCTTGTGTAACAAAAGCTGTTTTTTTTTCTGTCTTCAATTCGCAGTGGGATGGACCAAAATGCAGAGTTAATATCTAATGTTGAGAAGTACTTAAAGTTTCTTGTTTTTATTACCAAGTCTTCAATTAACGGGAATGGTTGAGCTTGTGGTGTTACTATTTTGTTGAGATCTCTGAAATCAATACATAATCTGTTTCTTTTATTATCTTCTTTCTTAAAAGCTAAAGTTACTGGTGCTGCAAACGGGCTGTATGATTCTTCTATAAGATTTTTTTGAAGTAATTTTGCCACCTGTTCTTCTATCTCTTTTTTGTCCTCCATTGAACATCTATAGGGCCTTTTACTACAGTATTTGTCCGTTAGGAGGTCGATATGTGCTTCATAGTCTCTAACTGTTCCAATGTCGTATTTATCCTTCGCAAAACTCGATTTATATTTGTCAATCAGTGTATTTATTTCAAATTCTTGTTGAGCATTTAAATTACCCATTTTTATCTCAAAATTTTTTTAATTTACATGTTGATTGAAATTTATAGAGAATTTATTAGAGTAAAATTGTGCATTACTCTTACCTTCCTTAGAAGTCAATTTCTCATTTAGTTCGATATCAGTGTTGTCTTTGGTTTTTTGTGTGATTTCCAGGTTTTCATTCTGAACTAATCTAAACTCTTTTATCATGTCTAGTACAATAAGGAAATCATATTGAAAATCTTTTCCATCCACAATATACACGTCGCATTTTTTTTTCTATGTTTAGTATTTTAATCTTTATTGTTGTCAAACCTCCTGTACTCTTCACACCATTAATTGTTACTAAATTTGCATTACTAAACTCTCTTTTTCCTTCTTCTTGTTTTAGTTTTACTAATTTGGAATTAATCAAGGACACATTAGATCCTGAATCATATATGCCAAAAACGTTTAGTTTTTCATCTAATGTAAGTTTGACTTTGATTATTGGTGTGATTGTTAGTTTTTTGGATCTTTATCATTTAATTCAAGATCTAATATAGTATTGTTTATATTCCTGTAGTGATTTCTCTTGTTTTCTTGCTGCTCACTTTTTTTAAACCAGCATTTTTCTTCTGGGTGATAACGAGTTCCCTTGTTCAAATTTTCACAGATTTTGCAGGCTTGATATTTATTAGATTTTCCTTTATTTTCAAATGTGTCTCGTTTTGGTTTATAGTAGGTATGTTTATTTGTTGTATGCTCAAATTTACCAATTTCATTGAAAAGACTTGCAGTGGATGTAATAGATTCCTTATCAATTTTACCCAATATGTAATCTGGTAGGCCAGTTGCGATAAGATTTATCATCGTCTGTGTATCTATGTGTTTATTTACCTCTAATAACACATTAGAGGTAAATAAACACAACATTTTTCGTAGCATATTCCAGTGCTGAACCCGCTTGAAATTTATAGGCAAATGCATATTTAACCTGTGACCAACCTTTATTTCCGTATGTCTCAGTAAAGTTATTTTTCCAAACAGTCCATTCTGAATTTTCAGTGAATTTTATCAACATACTAGTGTACCAATCATGGCATTGTTTCTCTAGTAGATGCTTTAAAGTCTTTTTAAAGAAATTTTCTCTGTATCCTGTAGTATTTCGAATCGTTCACACTCATTCTCAAATTCACCTATCCATTGATTCACATTGGAATTTTTTCCTGAAAATTTCTCAATCAAAAATTTTTCAGATGTTTTTCCTAGGTTTTTATTTCCAGACCCGACGTCGCAGTTTTTGTGAACTAGTGGTCTGGATTCCTCTGCAATTTCATCTAAATATTGATCTCCAAACTGCAAATTTTCGCCTTCATCTAAATAGATTTTTTTCAATTCCGGAGATAATGGAATCCACAATTTACGTATTTGATGTCTTTTTTTTAGAGAATTCTTGACCTTCGTGAATACCTCTGTGCTCACAATACTCGTGTGTTTGCTTGCAGGCTTCATTTCGTCCGGAACATTATAATTACGTCCATCGGGTGTTTCAATTGAGGTTATGCAGATTACATTTGTTTTGCCATCACTTGCCGCTAATACCGCAAAAGTAAATCTTAACTTCTCCATTTTCTTTAACTAGAAATGTCGTTTTATAAGACAATTCGTGTAATTTATAGGGAATCGGTGAAATAAACGTTTGTGTTGCTCTGAAAAAACAAAGTTTTATTAGTATAAATTATTTGTACATTTGTATTTTTCACTTAACTACACCTTACAATAATCACTAAACATACCTGAAAAAACAAAGAAACGACATTAAAAGTTATTACACTTGTCGATTCCCTTTATTAGTTATTTTATTATTATCCGATTGTTTACGTGTTTTACAATTTTAACATTTTACTGACGCCATCTTCGAAACCGTCTGCTTTATCTACAGTCCACTCAAATACTTTGACAGCGCCATCTATCAAGTAGCGAAGTAAATTGTTTCTGCTTTATTGACTAACCATAAAAGAATTTAATAAACAATAACAAAACTTAAAGAAATGTAATTTCTTTACATATTATAGATTAAATGAAACGCTTATGAGGCGTGCACTTTTGGGTTTTCCAAATTTTCTTTTTTTATAAAATAAGGGTGACAAACAGAAATACAGCCCACCTAATGGTAAGTGGATACTGGGCTCATAGACATCCACTATGCAAGCAAGCAGATGCGTTGCCACCCTTGAGGACTAAGATGAAATGCCTCGTTTTCAGAAAAAGGTTCAGTTCTCTACAATCACCATACGAAACACAGCAGCCTTAAGCTTCTAATTTATGCTAGTATTATGCGAGAGCGTGGTCCTACCCCGGTCGAACTGACCCATTCATGCTATAGCTAATATAGCTGCAGTGTGGCTCTACCACGTATATCTTTTTCTATGCCATTTAATTCATTTGTACTTTTTTACTTATCTGCGGAAAAGTAGCATATTATTTTTGGCAGAGACTTGTGTGTGTCCGCTTCTTCAGTTCACCCTAGTTCATCTTTACCATAGTTGAAACGCTTTGCAGGCGAATTAATATCCACAGTTTTAGTTGTTATTAGGAGGATGCTGCTGCCTAACTCCTGGTTTATTCCCCCTGTCGCCTCTTACAACACCCACGAGACTATATGGGGTAGTGGACATTCTTAAACCGCCACTACACGGTAAAAATGTTTACATGAATCCACAAATAACTGTAAAAACTTGCAGTGAGGTCATTTTTTATTAAGAAGAAGAAAAACTATCATAATATAAAATTTATAATGAATACATTAAAAATTTATATAACTTAATGAAATATAGCTTAATTTTAATCTATTTCTACAATTTTTTTCCACAACTTTATTCTGGTTACTTTGTCAATTTACTTTGCACTGAATCACTTTGTGTTCTGAACAGGATATTCATTTAGTGAACGTGAAAATAAATATATTGTTTTACTAACATCATTTTCGTTATTTAAGCTTTAGTAATCTTAGACTTGATTGATTAAGGTTAGGCGTCCAAATTTGTCTCAACGGCTTTTGTCTTAGGCTGTTTGTAAAACCAATGTTGTTATTTGCTACATATGTTTGCAATCACTTCACGTTTATTCAGTATAGTTCACATTTCAGTCATCTTCTTTAAAAGCCCACAACTGGACATGGAACTCTTCCGTTGTAATTATACCTATTACTGTAATTATTATATACCTACTGTAATTATACATACCTAAACAGACGGTTTAGGTAAATCCATTACAAACTGGCCACTTGGCATTGTATCTAGCGTAAATATTACGGTTATACCCTATAATCGCTTCTTACGATATCCATGAGACGAAATGGATTGGTATAATGGATATTCAGTAAATTTTTCTATAGTTTTGTTTTTAAATTTTTAATTCACAGTCCGTATGGATAAAGAATGGGATTAGAAATGTAGTTTATGCCATTTTGATTTTAATGAAAAGTTGCACTGAAGTTATAGAACGTACGAGGACGCATATCGCAACGTTTTTTTTTTACAGTCTTTACCAGCGGATTTGAGCATAGATATCGATAGTGTGTGAGCGAGAGGTGAATAGAGGTGACGCTATTTTCAATCCCATTCTTTAACCACACGGGTAGTATATCTGATGTTCCGTTACTGTTACCGTGTATTGGCGGTGTAAGAGAATCCATTACCCAATTTCATCACGTGAGTGTCGTAAGAGGCGACATGGGAAAATAAATCAGGAGATGGGCAGCAGCGTCTTTCTAAAAACGACTAAAAATAAAAATAAACTGTGAACTGTGTAATGAAAAACAAAAGTGGCAATTATGGCCAATATCCCCCCTATGGGAAAAGCCTATTTTCAGCAGTGAACTTTAATAGGCTGTAACGATAACGGTAATGGTTCCGTTACAGCATTTCGAAATTTCACTACTGAACATAGGCCTCCCCAATAGATTGTATCTTAGGAGCGATATTTTGCAAAAGTTTCCGCGTTTGGTTAGTAGCCGCAGTTTCTTTTTTGTTTATTATTAAGAAGTCGCTACCATGCCAATGCCCATTGCCTGGTTTGTTTCCATCTCTCGCTTCTTACGTCACCCATGGGACGATATGGGGTAGTGGATACTCCTCCACAGTTAATCTAATGTCCATTTTAAATTTAATAATTGCTAATAAATCATCTGCTACAACACAATCAATGATCCAAAAAAGTCTTTAGAAAAATTTCCGTGTAACAGACCTATAACTTTAACAATTTAAGCAACTGATATTTAATTATAATTTTCTTTTGTAAGAATTAATTTGTATTTGTTGTGTTTAATATAAGGATTTGAGGAATCATAATAGGTTACGGAATGCTAAGCTCTCTTTGAAAGGAAGTAATATTTCTCTTGTTGAATTTCTTACTCCTCATTGGAGAGAAGTTTTCAAGGAAGCTCAACGTCTACATGGTATGCACAGGTGTTGGACACAAGATGGTAACATATATCTTAAGCTCTGTAATGGCAGCAAGGTACGTCTTGTTTCTGTAGACCAACTAGCTGAATATCCTGTGAGTAATTCAGAAACTTCCAAAGCTGTGGCCTCCAAGCAACGGTCCAAGCCTGGAAAGAAGTTGTAAAATTAGTCTCTTTATATATTTACTTTTCCTTTTTCTCTATTATTGCATAATTGAGTAATTGCATATGTTAATTAATGATATGTAACTTACCGTCATGAACTTTAGGCGATTATAATTTCTAACTTTTTTTCGTAGGGCATAAATTAACTATCATTACTTAAAAATACTAACTAATAACTTTTATCATTGATAGTTGTCAAACTTATTATCCTAAACTACCTGCTTTATATAATTTAACTCATAGAACATCGAATTTCAAACTTTTTCTTATCTTCAAAATTATATCTTTTAAGTTTGTAATGTCAATATCAATTGAGAAATGACATGTGAAATGATCAAAATGTAATTTAGTCGTCATACGTAGTCGTGTTACCAGCTTATGAATTGCACATTTACAATTATTTTCTTAT